CAGAATTCCCCAGCCAGCATGGCTGGCTGGGGAATTCTGGGAGTTGAAGTCCTCAGGTCTTAAAGTTGCTAAGGTTGAGAAACACTGCGGTCTAGCATGACTTATTATCTGGCACAAAGCCTTCCCTTCCCTTGCTCCCAAGCTATGGGACGCGTTCCCCTGAGGGGATACACCTAGGCCCCCATTCTCAAAAAATTAGTAAAATAGATAAAAACAAGTTTTTTTCCCCAAACCAGGTTTTCAACAGTTACTTGATTCCATGCTAGTTTGATTTACACTTTTAACTTTTAGTGTTGACTTTCCTTGTAAGAAAACTCAAAGTAGACACCAAATTAGAAGGGCAAGATATAAATCTAACCAGCCAACCAGCTAACCATTTCCTCTCCCTCCCAATTTTGCAGCTTTTCTTGTGCTTTTCAGCCTGCACGCAGACATGGATGGCCTCCTGGCCAAGGAGAGGCAGTTTCGGTGATGCCACGATTGCAGGCCCTTTTGTAAAGCCAGAGGCTTTTCAAATGCCATTGTTCAAGGTTATGTAAACAAGCCGATGGGTTTCTTGGTCTTCGATTCTATTGCACTGGAAGGGAAAAATCCCGCTCTGACAGTAAAACCCACTAATTCAAGAATGTCCAATAATCTCTCTTCCCTCCCCAAGGCCCCCGATAAGAGCGAGAATTGAGGAAGACCTTTCAGAGGCAGTTAACACTGTTCTGTGAATTGGACAGACAGATTGTTCCCCGGAGACATCAGGCAGTCTCCTTGCATCGTACCCAAGGTTGGGAATCTCAACTTTTTTCGCCAAATCAGCCTCCGATGGCTCTTAGTAGAGGAAGCCGGCTCCTCCACTCTTCAGAACAGCCTCCTAAAGCAGTGTTTCTCAACCTTGGCGACTTTAAGTCCCGTGGACGTCAACTCCCAGAATCCCCCAGCCAGCATAGCTGGCTGGGGAATTCTGGGAGTTGACATCCACGGGGACTTAAAGCCGCCAAGGTTGAGAAACACTTGTCCTAAAGGGAATCTCGTCTGCTCCACTTGATGGATTGCAAGTCCGTTCGGCAACGTAAGGGGACACAAGCGGTTTTTCCAAGAATGATTTTGATAAATGTTTTAATATTCTGCCTGCGACAGGCTATTTTAAGTGTGAATCACCTAATGATAATATTCTTTTAATCAAAAGGAGATTGGGTTAGATTGCTTCTTTTAAAAAGAGTCATTTCTTTCAGCTGACTCCCTGCAATTGTCCTGATCCAAATGTTACAGATTCCTTAGCTGCACTTGCTATCTAACCGAGGTGTAGAGGCTGGATTTCATTCTTCATGGCTCGGGAGCAGGAAAGACACTCGGAAGGCAACTTTCCTCTGCCTGGAACTCCTCGGCCTCCTCCTGAATTTCCTCCTCAAGAGCCTCCAAGGCAGGACTTTCTCATAGGTCGTATCCATCACTTAAATTAGTGTCATTCTGATCGGTTCCACCACAATGCCGCGAAGCCCTTATCCGCGGAGACATAAGCGCGAAGGGCTAATCCGCGCCGTTCGAAGCGCTAAGGAGAAACGCGACCCTACCGCGAAGACATAATCGCGGAGGGCAAATCCATGCCTTCCGAAGCACTCAGTACCCTAAACCTAACCCTAAACCTAACCCTAACCCTAAACCTAACCCTAAACCTAACCCTAAACCTAACCCTAACCCTAAACACAACCCTAAACCTAACCCTAAACCTAACCCTAACCCTAAACCTAACCCTAAACCTAACCCTAAACCTAACCCTAACCCTAAACCTAACCCTAAACCTAACCCTAAACCTAACCCTAAACCTAACCCTAACCCTAAACCTAACGTTAACCCTAAACCTAACCCTAAACCTAACCCTAAAGCAAACCCCTGAACCTAATCCTAACCCTTACCTTAATTTAAATCGGCTTTCTGCCGCGGCGCCGTTTTAAAGCGCCCTTCTGTTGCCGCGCTATTGTCGCGGCGGTGATGACGTCGCGGCTTTAGCGACAAGATTTTATCACCGCTATTTTGACGAGCGCGGTTTTGTCGTGCCACGATTCTGATGCCAGGCCAAGTTCCTTTTTATTTTGCAAGGGCTTCGGTGCTTCATTCCAAAGTTTCCCTTCATAACAGCTATACAAACTAACAGCTTTTATTACTATTGCATTCTGAGTGAGTTGATTTCTAATTGTCAGCCACTTCCCAGAATTTTTTTACAAGCTGTCTAATACATATTATTCAGAACCAAATATTAAACTCTTCAATAATCAAACACATTAAGCTCTTCAATTTAGTTATAAAAAGGAGGAAACTGTAAAATTATAAAAATATCTCGGAGCCTTCTTGCTCCACTTGTGAAGAAAATGGGTTGCCCCCCATTCCATCTTTCACAAAGTGACTAAATTTCAGGGGTAACCCCTTGGAGGTTTATGGTACGATTCACTGTCACTCCATTTGTAAATGACTGATTCGGTAGAACTGTCAGCAGCAAGCCAAATACGGCCGCTGTAAGAAGGGGCAATTAAATATCCCTTCTTGTGTTTGCTATTTATGCTGAAAACAGAAATTTTCTTTTGGTATTAAAAGTCACACGGGAAGAAAACAAGAGAAGCACAGATTTCATGCTGAAGACAAATGCAGCATTGATTTTTTTTTTTTTAAAAGCACCAGTGCCACAGGAAACCAAAAAAATAAATTTTCCTATCAAAAATGTTTACTATATTACAGAAAATGGAAGCAGGCAAAGTGAGACAGCACCTCAGGCAACCTATTGCTAGTATTTGCTTGTTACTGTAGTTTTACGCCAGGAAGGAGGGAAATGTTAAGGATTTCCTTTCTTTATGCAAAAAAATAATTTGGCTGGCTGTGTGAACTACACACATTTGCCGTGATTAGATGATGTGGCTGGGGCTGCATGTTGCTAAGAGGGCAAAAGGGTCCTTTTCTTCCTCTCAAGGACCACTACGGAGAACCCGGCATTGCAGTTTGGGGAATGGAAAGTTATTTGCACGAATTCCATAAAAAAAATGTGGAGTATTTATTACACCCCATTCATCGTTCGGTATCTGTGTGTTTATAACAGAGTGGAAATTGTCAAATACCCAGCATCTCTTACTGAATAGGGAGCAGCTGGTCTGCAAAACAATGCTCGGGAGATAATTCAATGGGTTTACAGAGTCTGTTGTTTCAACTATTACGTTTTCATTCAATGATAACCGTCGGAATGCTCGTTGCATTTAAGTTGCAGGTATTCTGGGAAAGCAAGAAGTTAGGGGGACAAACCACGTTCACTTCATATTTCCTTCTAGAACAGTGTTTCTCAACCTTGGCAACTTGAAGATGTCCGGACTTCAAC